GCTCCTGCACTTGCCTCCCTTCATCATAGTCCCACCACAGCAGCCAAAGTGTGATCTCATTAAAGTGCTTGTTTCACTCCTGTGTTCAGGCCCCTCCAAATGCTGCTCACATCACCAAGAGTGAAAGCCAGTCTTGTCATTAATCGTTGCCCCATCCCACTGGCTGCTCAGGGCTTCACCACCACACCAGGAATGTTCCCGCTGCAGAGCCTTTACATTTGCTATTCTTTAAGGATAGAGGGTTTCCCCTCCCCCCAGCGGATACCTTCATGGCTAGATCTCTCACTCTCTCAGGTCTTCACTCAAAAGCCAACCTCAGAATTGGATGGAGAGTAATGGGATGGGAGTGCTATTTACGATGGGTATTTAACCCGAGACTGGATGAGATCAACTGAAGTCTTTTTTTAAACTTTATATTCTGAAATAATTACACAGTCACAGGAAGTTGCAAAGATAATACTGTGAGGACCCACGTATCCTTCATGCAACCTCCCCAATGGTAGCATCTCACATAACTATAACAATATCAAAAATGAGAAATTGCCATTAGTAACAATCTACAGACCTTATTCAGATTTCACTGGCTTCAAATGCACTGTGTGTGTGCGCAGAACTGTGGGTATGTATGTGTATGTACTTCCATGCAATTTTATCACAAGTAGATTTGTGGAACCACCACTATCAAGATAACAACTGAAAAAAAAAAGATAACAGAATTGTTCCATCACCTCAACGATGCTTTGTGCTACCCCTTTATATTCACATCCTTCTCCTCCCTTAACCCCATTCTCCCATCCCTAATCCCTTTGGCAACCACTGATGTGGTCTCTATAATTTTGTCATTATGAGAATATTATATAAATAAAGTCATACAGACTGTAACCTTTTGAGATTGCCTTTTCTTACTCAGTATAATTCCCTTGAGATCCATCCAAATTGTTGCATATATTAATAGTTTGTTACTCTGTTTTGCTGAGCAGTATACCATGGTGTGGATGTACCATATTTTGTTTAAACATTCACCCATCGAAGAACATTTGGGTTGTTTCGAATTTTCGGCTATTACAAATAAAGCCGCTGTGAACATCTGTATACATATTTTTGTGTGGACATAAGTTTTCCCGTTTCTGATATATTTTTTGAGCACATAAATTGGTGTACTTTGTCTGCTTCTGAAGGAAATGAATAGACTATAAGGTCTTAAAAATGGACAAATTCTTAAAAAATATGACTTACCAAAACAGATAAGGAAATTGAAGTAACTCTTGTATTAGTTATCTATTGTCACATAACAAATTACCCCACAACTTAGTGACTTAACAACATTTGCTATCTCTCACTTTCCGTACGTCAGGGAATCTGCATATGACTTAGGTCTCCCACAGGCTGCAGTCTAGGTGCTGGCTGGCACTGCAGTCATCTCAACAGCTCTTCTGGGGAGGGATCTGCTTCCAAGCTCACATCCCTGATGGCAGGATTCAGTTCCTCCCGGAGTGTCAGAATGAAGGCCTCAGTTTTTGTTGGCTGAAGGCTGCCCTCAGTTCCTTGCCACATGAGCCACCTGAAGGGCAGCTCACAATCAACATGGTAGCCTGGCTTATCCGAGCAGCAAGCAAGAAGAGCCTGAGACTGAGGGGAACTGGGGACCTAGGAGAGATGGAGAAGGAGAGGGGGAGGTGGTGGGGGGGATGTGGGGGGTAGAGAGAGAGAAGAAGGGCGAGAGCTACAAAGAACTCACAATCTTTTATAACCTAATCTAAGAAGCAACATCCCATAATTTTTGTCTTTATTCCTTAGAAGCAAGTCACTAGATCCAGCTCATACTCAAGGACTGATAGAGCTCCCCAAGCCCCTGCCTCCTGGTATCTGTGCCTGTGTGTAACTGGACCTAGTGACTTTTTATCTCCAGTTGGGAGCAAGAAACCATGTAGTGGATTATACAGGGAACGTTTAATATAAAGAATTGTTAAATTATTAATCATTAAATAACTAAGAAATTATTTGATAGTTATTATTCACATCTAATAAATGAGTGACTGTAAGACGAAAAGAAATTCCATATGGTCTCCTATGGCTTAGAGTGAGTACCTAAGGAAGGACAAACTTGGAAAGGGGCCCCCTTACAAGACTGGAGTTCAGATCTCATTGAAGAAGGTGAAGTTTAGCCTACTTCAGCAGAAAAGTCTGCTGGTTTGCCCCAGGTGGTACTGGTTGCTGGCCAGCAGAAAGCAAATCTCTGGGCCACGGGTGAGCTGCACAAGACCCTGTGGAGGGAACTGGTACCAGAGCAGACAGGTCGCCTTTGGGTGCCAATGTAGGCAGGAGGCCTTCAGGGCACCGATTTCACTGTTGAGAGAGGGTCATGGGAAAATTATTGTTGAGCCAGACTGAGGTTGCAAGGTCATCAAGGCAACACGTACGCTGCACCAAATGGCTGGGGAAGAGCTCCACTGGATTCTTTATAGCCATACCATCGGCCACTGCCCCTCCAGTGCCCTCTCCTGAGAAAGCTTATCATTGCAAAGCTTTGCTCATTGCAAAGTACAGAAACTTAAAGGAATTCTATCCATTATTGCAAAAAGCAAGAAGAGTGAATTGGGAGCTGAGAGGCAATAAATGTATTGGCACAGGATCCATTTTAGAAGCTGCCTACAATAGCCTTCTACCTACAAAATAAATTGAATTCATTATGAAAACCTTTCCGCAAAGAAAACTCTGGGCCCAGATGAATTCTATTATACACTTAAGGGAAAAATAACACCAATTTTCACAGAAACTCAGAAAATGGAGAGAGGAACCTCTTAACTAGTTTTATTAGACTAATATAACCCTGGTACTAAAACCTGATAATGTCATTACAAAACAAAGTTACAGATCAATATTTTGGGAACAGAATAGGTAATACTTCCAGATGATTAAAAATTAACATACAAAAGTATATATAAAAAGTCTCCCACTCTATTCAGCTGCTGTTCAAAGTAACTTTTTCTTATATTTTCAATGATTTTCTTTATGCACATATAAGCAAATAATATTTGTATTTTTAATGCAAAAGAAAGGAAACAGATACATAATGTTCTCCACTTTGCTTTTTTAAAAAAAACTAAATGTATTCATGCAAGTGTATCTATAGGATGAACTTCCAGTAGTGGAATTGCTTAAAGATATATGTTTTTGTAGTATTGATTGATATTTCTCAATTGCCACCTGTAAGATCTGTATCTCTTTACATTCTTACCAGCAATGTATTCCCCACAGTCTCACTGATATGAAACTTTTTTGCTCATTAGCAATCTGAATGGTGGAGAATGGTATCTGAGGATTTTTTTTTTTAGAGATAAGAACTAGGAAAACATTAATAGGCTGGAGAAAGTAAGCCTGGATATGCATGGGAGAGAGAGACGAGTTGCTACAGGAGATGAGTCCTTTACAAGGCTGGAGGAGTGGGATCCACCGCACCAGTGATTCACTTAATAGGTACAGATCAGGGGGAGTTGTTGGTATACTGAGGGTAGACTCAAGTGCAAGTCTCTTTTGGTTGCTTCTATTTTTCAGGTGAAATAGGCATCAAGGTCATAAGCTGAGCTAGGAGAGGGGAAGGGGTGTTCAAGATCTGAGAGAAGAGATATGAATTGCTTCTCCTGGAGAGTGGGAGAAGACCCGGAGGAGATACTAGGATTGTTGGGCAGTACTGATGACCCCCTTGTGGATTGCAACCTTAAAAGTGAATTTTGAAGGACAAGAAACCACCATGGGTAGTAGATGGGGTAAAAGGGGTCAAATATGTGGTGACAGAAAGAAACCTAACTACGGGAGGTGAACACAGTGTAAATATATATATACTTTGCTGTCAAAGTGTACAGCTGAAGCTTGTTGGATTTCGTTAACCAATGTTGCCATAAAAACAAATTAATTAAAAAAAAAAAGAAAGAAACCATCATGAGTGAAGAAGACCCCTTCTTCAGGATGATGTGAGTAAAAACAATTAAAAGCAAAGTGTTCAACTAGTATTTATTTAACAAATACTTAGGGAGACTCTCCTATGCAGAGGCACCATTGCTGGGTGCTGGTTTGTCACTTAAAGTAGATCACAAGCATATTCAAGTCGGCTGTCCATGCGAAAAAAAATATAGAAAGTCACCATATGATGAATTGTCCTTAAATTTTGGGAGATGGCGAGGGAGCGGGGTAAGGGGATGGGGGTTCTGACTCTTGATAGCCTGAACAGAGACTCAGAAAAATATGCACATATACAAATTTGCAGACAATTTCAGGTGGTCTTAGAACCCCAACTTAAGAATCACTCCCTTAAATTAAGAACCTAATATTAAACAGAGTAATTGTTTTAGTATATTTTGGATGATTCAATTTACACTAAGCTTTCTAGGAGTTACTTTATGGTTATGTATTCTGAGTTCTCAATAAGAACTCAGAATTTGAAATTATTTTAGGTCTTTAAAAAGTCGCAAAAATAGTATAGAGTTCCCCCATCCTCCTTACCCAGAACTCCCAAAGGTTAACATCTTACAGAACCGTAGTACAATTATTAAAACAATTGATACAATATTACTATTAAACAGACCTTATTCAAATTTCGTCAGTTGTCCCATTCATGTCTGTTTCTGTTCTAGGATCCAATTTAGGATTTCACAATGCGTTTAGTTACCATGGACCTGGCATTTTTGTTGGTGTTTCTAATTTTAATCTAAGGGCTGTGCGTTCTTTGTTAAAGTACTTAGTGTCTCTGATGCTGTCTTACTAGAAGTGATATAATACGTGCGGAACGGTTTCGGAAACTTCAAAAGTAACTAAGTTTTTTCGTTGCTCAAAGCCGGTCATATATCACGTAGCTTTTCGTTCAAAGTCTATAAAAAACAAAGCGAATAGAGTGTAATACTATTGTCGAGGTATTTTGTCCCAAAATGGGACCCGTAGCCGCTCCCTCGGCCACCTGGAGAGCCCTACTCCAATTGGACAGCGTCTGTCTACCCTGACGCAGGAAGGTTGTCTCATTGGTCCGCGCAGTCGGGACTCCAGCGGCTCCTCTCCTCGGGCTCCAGGCGCCGACCCACTTCTTTTCCTCCTACAGAGCGCTCCCTTTCTTCCTAAGTTCCCAGAGCTGCCAGCCCGAAGGGATCCGGACCGAGCTAGGTAAAGCGTTGAGTTCAGCGGGGAAGAAGCGGCGGGCAGGGAACACGGGTGGGAGGTGGTGGAATACGGGTAGTCGGGGAGCCTGCTCTGTCCGCGCGCCCCCTCGACCTCCGGCATCTCCGCCGATTTTCCCACCTCGCCTCCTCTGCTGCCTCCACCACCACTGGCCTGTCTCACAAAAGTTGTTTGCACCCCGCTATCTCGCCGCCCCGCTTCCTTTGGCCCCTTCCTCACCTCCCCTCGGTGGGCCCGCCTCCTCCGGGAGCTGCTCCGCTGGCCCCGCCCTCACTAAGCACTACCCCACCCAGTCGCGCTCTGCCCGCAGTGCATCGCCCTGGCCCGTCCACGCATATATAAGTTTCATTCTGCTACCCCTTCTGGTACCTGCGCTTTTCTCTCAGTTAACCCTGCCTTCTGTGCACCCCGCTGTGCACTTGACTCCCGGGCTCCCCGCATTCCTCCATCGATCCAGGCTGTCTCCATATGGACTTAACAAATTGTTCAGAGGCCTGGTGCTGGGCATTGGAGGTCCCTGCTTTCTAGAGCTCCCTGCCCAGTAGGAGAGTCACTTTGTAACGAAGTGTAATAGGCCTGGTGATAAGTCTTTGATGAAGGAAGCATGGTATTGCCAGGCTTAGTGGAAGGAGTGCTAGTTTTCATGCTAGTTTTCACCATCCCTGCTGGATCCGCAAGCAGACCTGTGAGGGCCTACGCTGTGATTCTCTCCCCAAATGCCCCAGACTGCTTCCGATGCAGAATCCTGGCTCTAACCGTGTTGTTTAAACTCTTGGAATCAGTAAAATCTAGTCTTGGGCTCTTCTTTTAACCAAGGTTGGTAGGCCTTCAAAGCCCATCCATCCAAACTCTCAGTGTACTGACTGGGTTCAAGGCAAGAGACAGACAAGTGACTGACTTCGTGACTCAGAATCTTTCTCTTGATGCTTCCTTTTGGAGTTTTTCTTGAGGATTCTTACCCACTTTTTTCATTAACAGCAGTCTTAGTCGATAGGAAAACCTAAACATATGTGTAGATAAAACCTCCAGTCAATAAGTATATTCCTCCAAGCCCTCGCAGTAGGACAGTATCCCTTATTCAGAAGACAGTGACATGTTCCGTCTTTTGTAGTCAAGTATCTGTGGGGTCCGACCCCAGCTCCACAATTTGCTGTAAAGTATGGCAAAGATACTTCCCTTACCTGAGCCTCAATTTTACCTTCTGCAAAAAGAGCATGATTAACCCTATCACACAGAGTCATCCTATGGATTTGTTGAGATCCTGCTTATGAAAAAGAAATCACTTTTAGGGTCCTGTAAATAGTAGGATCTCAGCACAAGTGATTCGAGTCTGTCTGATTCAGACCAGCAGAAGAGCCTGATATATTCCCCTCTCCCAGGCACCATGACGACCTTGGATGATAAGTTGCTGGGAGAAAAGCTGCAGTACTATTACAGCAGCAGTGAGGATGAGGACAGCGACCACGAGGACAAGGACAGAGGCAGGGGTGCCCTGGCTGGCAGTTCAATACCTGCAGATGCGGAGTTGGCAGGCGAAGGCATCTCAGTTAACACAGGTACTGGAAATCCCTGAGCTCCGGGAACAGGTTTAAAAAATGTCCATTAAATAGGTATCAGTTGGCAGTCTGATTGCTTCTAATTCTAGTCCCACTTGCAGAGATAACCTAGAGCTGTTATTTCGCTGCATGTTTCTAGCCATTCCGCTGCACAGTACACCTATGCATGCATAGCAACATTGTAAGGAACAGACTGGCCTGGGTGTGAATCCAGCTTCTCAAATTAGTAGTTGTTTGGTACACATAAATCGTAGGTATGAGTATACTGGTAGTATAAATTCCTAGAAATGGCATTTTTACATTTTAGTAATTTCAAATTGCTGTGAAGTTGAGGTGGCACTGTTTTATCGTTTAACCAGAGATACGATCTTTCTCCGTACACTCGCCCTTCTACTGTTATCTTATTTTTTGATCTTAGCCAGGGACGACAAATAGTAACTCACTGTAGTTTTATTTTCTCTTTTTAAGAGTGACATGGAGCTTCTTTTCATAACTTTAGGAGATATTTTCGTATCCTTTGCTCATTTTTAAATTGGGTGGTTGGTCTTTTTCTTCTTAGGGAACTATATATTAAGGGAATTAATCTATGGTATGAGTTGTAAACATTTCTACCAATTTGTTGATTGTCTTTTACTTTATTTTCTTTTTCTGGCAAAAAAATTTTATTATTATGTACTTAAAAGCATTATTTTATAGTTTCTTAATTTTGTTTCTTACTTAAAAGGCCTTTTTTTACTTCGGGATTTTAAAAAAGCTCTCCCATGTGTTTTCTTAGTATTTTTATGATTTCATCTTTTCTACACTTATATATCTATTCACCGATTGATTTCTCTTTTACTGTACTTTATCACACTGTTTTTAATTATTGTGCTGTTACATGTTTTAGTATCTAGTAGGGCTAGTTTCTCCTCAGTACTCTTCTGTGTCATTTTTTTCCTAACTTTTGCTTTCTTATTTTTCCAAAGCAATTTTAAGAGCATATACGCATATGTGCAATTACAGATTTTCATTGGGACTGCATTAAATATATAGATTAATTTAGAGATAACTGACACCTTTGTGTGATGTTGGGTCTTCCTAGTCAGGAATACGGTATTGCCTTTCCATTTATTCAGGTCTTTCTCTGTGTTTCTTGGTAGCATTTTAAAGTTTTCTTTATAGAGATTTTTATTATCTTTTTCTGTGGTAACAGAAGACCTTCACATCTCAGTGGCTTGTGACAACAAAGGTTTATTTCTCAATCATGTTATGTGCTGCCTGTGTGCGTCAGCAGCATCTTTGCTTCATGTATCCTCTCTAGGAACGAGGCTGAAACACACCATT